ACCGACGCTCAACGTCCCGAGTCGAGGTCAGCAGCACACCATCCCCACTATAAACAGTGTTGGTGCTGCACTGCTTCCCCCTCCTGAGACGCCGGATGGCGGACCAGAATAAATACAAAATATTAAGTAAAATAAAAAAAAAAATGGGGAATAAAACTTCAAAACAACAATATGAGGACTATGTTCCTGTAGGCCCTTATGTGGATGACATGAAGAGAAAATATGGTGATTCATCTGTTCGATTTTTAGCCCAGTGGCATCATGAATTTGGTTTCCCACAGAACGGTTCATTTGATGAGGAGGACATTAAGAAACTGGAGCAGTGCCTGATGAAACAGAAACAAATATTAATGAAAAATAATAAGGTTTCTACTAAATATATGCAAACTTTAGAGGATCATCAGGATGTTTTTAAGTTATGGAAAAGAGAGGCCAATAATTACCACCAATCACAGTAATCTAAACTACAAATGGTTCAGAGAACCCAGGATAAGGTTACTCAGAAAGGAAAAAAACAGCCTAATAAGGAGAGGCAGCAGCCTGATAAGAAAACTGCCAACATGCTTACTGATCCAAATGCTTTTGTTTCTCCACATGTATCTACTTCGGCTGTTGTGACCGCGGGCCCGTCTCCAACGGCACCAACGAGCACCTCCAGCCTGTATCCCAGCTTATCACAAGCCTGTTTGCCCTCTGCTTTACCTCCACCGTACCAACCGATCATCCACCCTAAAAAGAATGCTACACATCCTTGCCTGGATGATGATGACTCTTATTACGTTCGATCTCAAAAGGCTGAGCTAAGGGAGGAAGACGATGGGTTTGATCTGAGACAATTATTTGATCCCCAACCAGATACACAACCAGGCTCCAGTACTTCTGGTGCCAGTGGAGGGGATCTGCCCTATGACCTCCGTCCCAGAATCTCCAAGGAAGAGCCATCATCAACAACAGAGGGGGGTGCAGAGGGACTCATGGTCAGTGTCCCATTTCCTGGCATTCCTG